AACATTCTTGCGGTGACCATCTACATACAAATAATAATCTTTACTTCTGTGACAGGTTTGTTCCTGAAAACATGGCATCTTTAGGCAACACTGTTGGTGAGATCAAGCAATATTGCTGCATTGTGCAATATATGACATAATGTCTGTTTGAATCAGAGTCAGTCTTCACATGAATATGTTAGTAGTTGTGTTTTCTCCTCAGCCAACCTGAGCCGTGTGGTACCTCATGGTCTCTTAGTTTTTTTCCCTTCCTTCCCTTTAATGGAAAAAACCCTTGACTTCTGGAGAGTAAGAGCAGAATTGTTACATTGTATTTTTATTTACTTTGAATGTTCCAAATTATTTCTGGATTAAATGTTGTGTAAAATCAGGTAAAGTGTTTATGCTGTTTTACCAGGCTACTGGACATGCAGATCGCATTGAGAACGTAAAGCCTATGTTTGTTGAACCTAAAGGAAAGGGAACCTTTACTGAGGTGAGTCTTTTTATTAAATGTTATATATACTAAATCATCTTTCCAGTAGGTGTCACATTGGACCAAAACAAAATAAAATAAAACTCATCAAAACTGTCTTTATTTGTTTTTCCAACAATCATTAACACTAGTTTGTGTAAATTAACCCTTAATTTACAGTTAGATGTGAAAATATTTGTGGCTGCAACATAGGATAATGTTAATCCTTGGACACAAATGTGCCTGTCAAAGTCAGTCCACTAAAAGTTGTTGTTTCTGCCACTGACTCACATCATGGACAGGATCCCTACAGAGATAGAACTTTTGTTTAACCAGAAGTAGCTGTATATCACTAACACTCGCTAGACTCCATAGACAAAAACGGTAATTTTACCTTGCATATCAATGTGATTACATAACTTCATTCAAAGTGGGCAGAAACAAAATAAGAATCACCAGAACAGTTTTTGTTCTCTATGTAAACAAACCACAGAGAGGCTGAAATAGAAACACTGGCAGAGGGAGTGTGACACCATTCTCCGCTTAGGACACCATGACTCCAACTTACCTAGCCAATACTAGTTGGCTGCTTTTATCTCATACATATAACCTATAACTGCCTAGATGCATGAATATGAAACCTCCAAGTGTCTCACAATATTTCATGAGCTGGTAACGTTTCCTTAGGATTTTTCAGTTGATCTCTCTGTCTGTTCTTAGATTATTGATGGATATTACAACAAAGTCAATGATCCAGCATCCAAAGGGGGATCTTTCTTTGCTGTGTGTCGAGGGAAGGTGAGGTTAATGTGTGTTCACTGAATCAAGAAAAGACCTAAAAAGGTTTTATGTGAAAGTTTGGGCACCCTTTGATAAATAACAGATTTTGGTGATTATTTTTTTTCATTAAAAACATGTAAACACAGCCTCTCCGAGGTATGGAAGGTAAAACACAATATTTGCAGCAAACATTCATGCATTGTTTCATTTTATTTCATAAATTGAACAAAAAAATAAATGTGATATGTGCAAAGGTTTTGGGAATCTATACTGTCAGTACTTAATAACTTATTAAATTTAGATATAGTTCCCTTTTTACTATTTAAAAAAAATACAAAAGATTGAGTCATACAAAAGAAATTATATATCATACATTACAATAAAAATATGTAATGTAATATGATTCATATGATGGCAGTCACAGATTTCAGTGTATTGAAATTAAGTTGTAGTTTCCTTCATATAGCATATAAGGTTACGCAAATTGTGCCCTCTCACATGATTTCTTTAAATGTCTTCCTGTGTCAGGCTAGCGAGGGTCTGGATTTTGCAGACACTTTTGGTCGGGGTGTCATCATCACTGGCCTTCCTTTCCCTCCAAAGATGGACCCTCGAGTCATCTTGAAGATGCAGTTCTTGGATGAGATGTGTCGGAAGAAAACTCCTGGGCTGAAGGTGAGAGTAAACTGCTTACCGAGTATCACTGAGGTTTGATGTGGTTTCAGTGGCTCAGTTCTGGCTCATCTTGTGTGTATGTGTGTTAGAGCCAGCCTTAGCCCAGCCACAGCCACAAAGTCTGTAATGTTTTAGGCCAAAACACACTCTCTCTGATGCATGCAAAAGAAACGTGTGTTTGTGCGTGTGCGTGTGCGTGCGTGTGCAGTACCTGTCTGGGCAGCAGTGGTACAGACAGCAGGCTTTCCGAGCAGTGAATCAGGCTATCGGGAGAGTCATTCGCCACAAGGACGACTATGGAGCCATCTTCCTGTGTGATCAGAGGTCAGACATCTTTACTTATTCTTTTACTTCATACAATTTTGGCCCTCATGCAAGAACTACTCATACCAACAGATTTCTTCTCAAGTGGCAGTGATTTAAGATAGGTAGAGCTGAAACGATTAATCAATTATTTAAACAGCAGAAAATTGAATTCATGTCATGTGCAGATGGTCTGCCTCAGTCTCTCCAAGGTTTGAAATAAATCATCTATGAGTTCCACTTCCAAGGAATAAAATCAGTGAATCAGTCAGTCCCAAGGACTACTGATGTTCAAGGATGTAAATTCAGAATGTAATAAGAAATTGAAAAAACACAAATATTATACAACTTATCAAGATTGTCATATGTACAGTAAAGAAACACAGTTGGTTTTATACGTACAACTGAAAAAACCTTAGTTGCCGACTCCCTTAGGCAACACACAAATAGAAGGATAGAATACAGTTCAAACTTTAAATAGAAAATATATATTGCAGCTGTGCATAGTTGCTTCATGTACACTGTGCAACATAAAGATCAGAGCTACCCAGACCACAACAGAGTGGAGGACTATGATATTTGAACAATGGGGCACAGTGTGAGAGATCATGGATTTTAGTCTCAAGAAGACTCATAATCCAACTGGAACCTATACTTCCACCTAAATGCCCACTTCTTTCAAAC